AAAATAGAATATTTAAGTGATGCAAATGAACAAACAGGAATATACAGCGTGCTCTTACCATCTGCCCAGCCAGTCAACAGCAGCACCGTGAAGCTGGAGGTGTCCTGCACCTTGTCCTGCACTGGCCAAAGTTGCCATCACGACCATCAGCTCAGGAAAGCCCGTGCCATCCCCGTTGGCCAGCATTTCTGTTGCCATTGGTATGAGAGTACTCAGCAGAACAGTGCACACACCTTCTCCAACTTGGCTGATCAAAAAGAAGAAAGTTTCAGAGAGGGTACATCACCCACTGAAATAAAGCTGAGGCCCACATCCCATGAGCAGTGACACAGCAAAGCCTTCGGGCAAACAGCCAAGAAAGTCCCCATCACTTGGTTTTTAAGATGACAACAAGAAGCCATCAGCAAATCACATCATTTGTACACCTAGAGAACAAAAGAAACTGCACACAAAAGAAATGACAAAGGCTGTACTTTACCTGTTTTCCCGAACGATGTAAGTTGTCAAAAGTTGCAGCAGTTGCCTGTTCTCTTGCACAACATCCAGCTGATCAGAATCTTTGGGTGGGGACATGGTCATCCTGGTCAGCCAGGCCTGGAGCCGCACCGGCTCCACACACGCCAGCTGAGCCAAGGAGCCGCAGAGTCGCAAGAGGCTGGGGACAGGACTCTTCTCAGCTGGGGGAGAAAATCACTGGTGAGTGACAGATGCCACAATGAACGTGTCTGAAGGTGGATTTCCACTAAAAGTGTGAAGGTGTCACTCCACTTCCTTTCACAGCTTTGCTTTCAAGCAGTTTCACACCACAGCCTAATACAAGAACGGTGTAATGCGGACAAAGGCAGGACGGAAGAGATTCAACACTTACTGAGCTGGAAGAGCTTGGTGAAGAATTTCAGGACCCTGTTACAGAACTTGGCTGAGAGGTTTTCATTGGCTGTTGCCATCATGATCTGGACCAGTTCTCCACTACATGGAAGGGGAAAATTAAGTCAGCTTGGTAAAAGACAACCCATTCCTTTTTTTTTTTTATTTGCACTTAAATATCTCTGCCCTCACATTTAGGACTGGCACCAGTTTGTGTAACATTGCCCAGCGCAGCAGCTGAGCCACAGAAATTGCTTTCAGACAAGAAGAAAAATCTTAGCTCAGGCAAAAACCTGTGAATCTCACAAGCTCCT